ATAAATAACATTGTTAATGATATAGCAATAGTATTTATAGTGGATTCGTTTAATCGTTCTTGTTCTGATAATGAATGATTATGATCTCTACAATATGCAACACATTTAGTTGGTTTCTGAATCAGCTTATTTTACTTTTTTCCTGTGATGTTAGAGCAGAACATTCCTCTTAAAAAGAAGCTGAAAGCTCATAGTCCCTCTGTGTCTCTTTCCATGTCTCTGACAGTGCACTACAGGGTTTTTGCTATGTGGCCTGACATGGAATCCGAAACAGACACTTCAATTACGCTTGAGATTGTGGTATTGTACAAATTCTTTACATACTGGGCTCCTGATACTATACTTAGTAGCAGTAAAGAGATGTAAAAGAGCTTCTTGCCCTTTTAAAACTATTTTTCTAACGCAGGGGCATGATTGAAATGGAAAAATATTTGGGAAATGGGATTTTTTTCCATTCAAAAAAGTACTTTTATTTTCTTAAAATCAAAGCTGCTACATTAGCAGCTTGTTTGTTGTAACTATTTTTTATCCACCTATTCAGTCAATATTTTGTACCACAGCCTATTAAAAATCATTTGAAAAAATAAATTGTTTTAACGAGGTAAACACACTTGTTTATTTCAGACCCCTGGTGGAGTTGTAATTGATTTTAAAACTATCTCACTGAGGTCAGGAATCTACTCAGGAAACTATGTTCTGGGTAACATTGTCAGGTGAGATATCTTCCAAAATGCTTAAATGATTGAAAAGCATAGGATTACGTACATGATTTATCTGCAACTAAGATAAACCCCACCTTTCTTCTTCTGTACGTGTTTAGCTTTGGGAATTGGAAGGTGGTTGCTAAATTTCACAGCCATGCAGCAGAGAGTTTCACTGCAGAGTTTGAGGTTAAAGAATATGGTAATTAACTTTTTTAAATCTGTATTTTAATTAACATAATTGATTTCTATACAGCTTAACATCAAAAATGATTTCTTACTTCACAGTGCTTCCGAGCTTTGAGGTTAAATTGTTACCCCCACCTGAGAGTCCATTTTTCTACGTTGACAGCAAAGAGCTTAAGATCACCATCAAAGCTACGTAGGTAATGCAGAACTTTGATCGTCCAGTTTGTCTTTGAGACATTTTGACCCTTCTTGTATTGTTCAAGGTATGTGTTTGGTAAGGAGGTAGATGGATCAGCTTATGTGGTGTTTGGGAGAATCAGTGGGGATGAAAAAAAGAGCTTTCCAAATTCTCTTCAGAGAGTCCCGGTGAGTAGATAATGGCACATTATGCAAATGTATTGTATAAAGTTTAGCTGGTGAGTTTTATTTGATTTCTTCCCAGCAATCACAAATAAATGCAATCCTGAACAAGACTTAACCCCATGTTGCATTTATTTTTACCAAGTCATAGTGTGATAATCAACGTGGTTAATGCAGTTTTCTCCACACATTAATACCGATCGTGATTAACATTCAAGTTCTGGGTAAGGATGTGGTTTTGGGGCAGCAACAGCAAAAACGTTTGATACTCAGAAATACTTTTTTGTCCTGAGAAATTTTAGTGAGCCTCTTTCTATAGTAGTAATTTCTAACACATTTTAAGATGTGATGAATGCTTTACAAACAGGGATAAGGTGACAGCCATCAAACACCTGACCAGTCAGACTGACTTACACAGTCAGTTTGTTAATGCTCAATACTCTCAGACCTAAAACTGACAGGACCAATCACAGCACAGAAGGCAGACGCATAATGAGACAGTGGTTTTGTAACCATAACAATCAAGATTGCA